CATGGAGCAGGTAGGCACGGGGAGGCGGCGCCGGGAGCTGGCCGTCGTCCCCTCGCACCGAACGCACTGCCCTCGTCCCCTTGTGCGCAGACCCACCGCGGGATCAAGGGTTTGGTGACGGACCAGCAGGGAGAGCCCATCGCCAACGCCACCATCGTGGTGAGCGGCATCAAGCACAGCATCAGGACAGGTAGGAGCCGGGCCGGGGCGCCACGGGCTGCGGCACTCGGACCCTCGGACCCCGCGGCCCCTCACCCCTCGGCACCGCAGCCAGCGGCGGCGACTACTGGCGCATCCTGAACCCGGGCGAGTACCGCGTGTCGGCGCGGGCCGAGGGCTACAACCCCAGCACGAAGACCTGCAGCGTCTTCTACGACATCGGCGCCACGCAGTGCAACTTCGTGCTGGCGCGCTCCAACTGGAAGCGCATCCGCGAGATCATGGCCATGAACGGGAACCGGCCCATCCGCCGCGTGGTGCCCGGCCGCCCCATGACGCTCCGCGAGCGCCTGCGGCTGCGCCAGCGCCTGCGGCTCCGGCAGCGGCTCCGCGAGCGGATGAGGCTGCGGCGACTGAACGCCACCGCCGGCCCCGCCGCCCTCCCCACCGCCCCACCCCCCCGCACGGCGCTGCCCACGTTCAGCAGCACCACGAACGCGCCGTGGAGCCAGGAGCCGCCCACGGCGGGCACCTGGGAGATGGAGACCGAGACGGAGGTGGTGACCGAGCTGGTGACGGTGACGGAGGTGTGGGACGAGGGCACGGGGACGGCGCGGCCCTTCACCACCGCGGAGACCTACACCGTGAACTTTGGCGACTAGGGGACGCCCGGCCCCTCGCTCCGCCTCCCGGCGCTCCGCGTGGGCACCGTGCGCGCTCCCGGAGCCCCGGGCCGGGCGGGCACAGAGACGCGCGTTCCCGCGCCCGGGCACGGATGAAGCAGGGCAGGGCCCTGGCGTGGTTTTGTTACACAAATAAACAAAGCTGTATTGGTAGCAGCACTGCATTGCTTCTCCCACCGTACGGCGCAGGAGGACGGTGAGGTGACGTCCGCTGTCACTGCCCCACCTCCATGTCGCTGTCATCCTCGGCACCGAAGACGGAGAAGCTGATGGGCTGGCAGCTGAGGTTGCGCAGGTTGACGAGGCAGGCGGTCTGCGTGGCACTGAAGGCCGGCACTGCCACCAGCAGCACCCGCTGCCCATCCTCCCCTGCAGGACAGGCGGGCATCAAACGCGAGCGGGGACGGGGATGGGGACGGGCAGCAGCTGTCCATCACCCACCTGTCAGCAGCTTGGACTGGAACCTGGGTGCGTTGCCACAGAAGTAGACGTGTGGGCAGTCGGTGAGGATGAAGGGATCCGAGTTGTAGAAGGGGTAGCAGCCTGGAGGAGCAGAGTGAGCTGCGGAATCCGACCCCGCACCCCCCTGCATGGCACTGGGACCCACAGCCCCTTACCCAGCGTGTCAGGGGCCGTGGGGCTGATGTGCCCCGCCAGCAGCGTCCACTCCAGGATCTCCAGGTAGTCGTCCATGCTGCTGTACTTGAAGATGTCGCTGATGTTTTGCCCCGACGTCCCCAAGAACCTGGATTTTGAGGGCGGATCTGTACTCAGCACAACCTGCAGCAGAGCCCCGTGCCACCAGCGGCATCCCAGCCTGCGTGACGCTCCGTGCCTCACCGGACACCGTCCACGTCAGCCTGGTAAGGGTTGGTGACGAGCTGCAGCGTGGGGTAGACACTGGAGAGGGGCAGCATGCAGCGGTGCAGCGGCTGCTGCGGCAGCGTGTAGTTGGTGGGGTCAAACTCCCCAGGCATCACGTCCACAGGCACGGAGCTCTGCAGGCACAGCAGGGCTGTTGGGGGCCCGAGGGGCTGCAGGAGCCGCTCCGCCAGCCCAGGCACTCACACAGAGCTGCAGCAGGATCTCGTCCAGCATCTTCACCGCCTCCACGCTGGCAGCTTGCGTCTTCTTGGTCAAATACTTGGCCTGCAGCAGCGAGGATGCAGTGAGGATCATGATCTCTCTCCATCCCTCCCTCCCTCCTGCCGGGCCCCCCACTGTCACCATACCTTGTGCAGGCTGTCGCGGCTCTGCGTGCTCTGGCTCAGAAGGTTCCCAGCCAGCAGGACGCGGGAGATGAGCGCAGCACAGCTCTGCTGGCCCTCAGCACCCAGCTGCCCCGTCACCGCGTCCACCAGCAGCTGAGTGCCCAGCAGGGACTCGCCGCTGCCGCTGCCCAACCCCAGCCCCGAGGCCAGCAGCACGAACCTGGGCGGGGGGCGGGCAGAAGGCTGCAGCCCCCATTGCGTCCCTCCAGACGGATGGGACAAATGGTCCCCGGGGCCGTGTGGGGACACCCCGGGGACGCCACAAGGACTCACCTGTCGGCGCTGGGTCCCTGCCACGGCAGCTGTGGGGGCAGGTGGGCGAAGCAGTGCTCCTCCACCAGGAACTTGCCATCCTCCTGCTCGTGGCCATACACGGCCAGCACAGTGCCTGCAGCGGGTGGGGGGCACTCAGCCTCACCGCGGCTCTCCGGGCCGCCACCACCCGTGCATCCCCTACCTGTCACCAGCCTTGATGCCTCAATGTTCCCTGTCAGCTTGATGCGCTGCAGCTCGTCCTCCAGCACCAGCTCATCCGACGGGTCCACGTATTTGGCCAGGGGGGGCTGTGGCACCAGGTTGTGCTGGGGGGACACAGCAAGAGAGGGACCCCGGGTTCGTGGGGTGCGTGGCCTGTGCCAGGGCTGCTCTCCAGCTGCGTGCCGGCGCCGGGCTGCTTTCACTTAGCGTGCCGCCAGCACGGCGGCCAAGGAGGAAGCAGCAGGGTGGGGGGGTCACCCTACCTCCTCGTTGATCTCCTGCAGGATGGAGGGCTGCAGCCGCATGGCCTTGAAGAGCGTCCCCACCACGCAGCACTGCTCGCCTGCCTGCAGCTGGCACAGCTTCCGCAGCAGCACGCCATCACCTGCGGGGCCGCGCGGCTCAGCCTGCACCCATTGCTTCCCCCCTCCACCACGCTGCGACTGCTCCCCAAAACGCCGCCCCGGAGCTTCAAGGTCTCCGGAGCAAACCCCTCATCCTGCTTCAGTGCTGGGAAAGCAGCCATCGAAGGGTGTCCCCGTGTCTGCGGTGTCCCTCCAGGCTTTGTCACCCCGCTGGGTTTTGGGGTGGGAAGTACGAGGGTGAGCAATGCGCCAGTCCCACAGACAGAACGGGTGAGGGTTTGGCACTGGGATGGGATGAGAGGGGGGAGGTGGGGGCTGGGAACGGCACCAGCAACGCCAGGAATGCGACTGCCTGGAGGCAGGAAGCAGCGTGCTGAGCCGAGCAGCTCCAACCCCCGCTCCGTGTGCCTGGGGGGCAACTGGGCATTCCAAAAAGAAAAACAATCCCAGAAATACGCTGCACGCCGCGGGACAATGGAACAGCATGTCGGGGTCCCCCCGGGGAGAAAGGAAAAGCGGGGAGCAGCGAGGGACTGAGGAGCGGGGGGGCGCTCACCCCATCGGAGCCGTGCCTGCTGCTCCAGGCGGGGCCGCATGCACAGCAGCCGCGTGGCGTAGAGGTGCGCGTACTGCCGGCCAAAGCTGCGCTCCCCCAGGCGGAAGGGCTGCGAACGGTCGGCAAAGTTGCTGCCGGCGCGGGCAAAGGTGGGGGGCTCGGCCGAGGGGGGGCCCAGCAGGGTGTGCCCCGGTGGGGGGGTGACCTCTGAGAACATGGCTGCAGGGCTGCAAGGGGAAGGGGAGCGTGAGGAACCCCGAAACGTGCCCCAAATGCACGCGACGTCTCCCGAACGGTGCTCCCCGTCACTCTGCAGCACCTTAAGGACCCGAAATGCCCCCCCCCCAAATAACTCCATGGTACCTGAATGCCCCTCAAAGATTCCCTGGCACCTGAACCCTCCCCCAAATCACACCCTGGCACCTAAAGCCCCCGAAGATGCTCCTTAACTTGCTGCCTGGCATCTAAAATCCCCAACCTGCCCCCCCAGTCAACCCCGGCCCCCGCCCCCCCCCCCCCCCAGTCACTCCCTGGTGCTCAAATTCCCCCAAGGTCCCTCAGTGTCACTTCCTGGCAGATGAAGCCCCTCAAAACACCCCTTCAGCTCTCTGGCAACTGAAAAACCCCCAAAGTGCCCCAAGAATCCCCCCGACACCCAATAACCCCCAACCCCCCCTCAGGTCACTCATTGGTATCTGCAGCCCCCTCAGATGACCCGCAGACGCTCCGCAGCCCCCGCACTGCCCTCCAAATCACCCCCGACAATCTAACCCTCCCCAGATCTCCCCCTGCACCCGAATCCCCCCGGAGGACCCCCCCCAATCGCTCAGTGCCACCTAAAGCCTCCAGTCGCCCCCTGCTCTCCCCCCGGCCCCTGAACCCCCCCAGAATCGCCCCGATACCC